TTTTTGATTTTGACCAGTGTAATATAGTATTTTATCGATGTTTCAAATAGTCATATTAAGTCTGGGTTGAGTATTATAAGTATAAGTGATCTTTCAGTTATCTACTGTATGGTTGCATTGTAGTTTATTTCAGATATAAAGTCTTGGATTGTTTTGTCCAGTTTTAAGTAGTTTTGGATTGTTGTGGTATATAAGGTTTGTCTTGTAATATGAGTAGTATTCTATTATATAGTAATAAAGTATATTCTTGTATTACGTAGTCTTTGTATATTTCTTTAATTATAACGTATGTTGTTTTAGTTACTATGAATATTATTGTTATTACTATAAATAGTAAGTGATAGTAATATATAGTAATGATAATATAAGTATATCTGGTTGTAAGAGAATTCTAATTGCTGCTCGTTTGATAAGTTTCATTAAGAGGTTATATTTTCAATAGTACTGATTGTACAGTTTTGTAAAGCCTGTCTGCTTCTTTTTGTTGTTGTTTGATTATTCGTTCATTTTCTAATATTTTTTATCGATAGTTGGTGCAGGTGTATATTAATACTATTGATATAATTATTATTACAGTTACAATATCTTGGGTTACTACGTTAGAGTCAGTAAAGTAGCTTGGTATTATTTGTTGAGTGTAGGTTGCAGTTAAAGTTGCAGTTTGGGTATTGGTTATTGATATATTTTGTGTTACAGTTGGTGTTGATATTTGTATCATTGAGAATATAACTTGTCTTTCTTCAATAGTTTGGATTAAACTGTTATTCATTTAGTTTATTTGTTTTGCTTGGTATCAGGTTAAGATAGTTGAATCTGTGTGATTGATTAGTTTTTTTTAAATTTTACTGGTTTATATGAGTGTTGGTCGTTTAGATATCTAAGGTTTGGTGTTGATCTATTTTGTAAATGTGTTAGGCTTCTGTTGTTGAAGTATCTTTGGTTTTGGTTTAGTAGATTTGGTAATAAGTCTCCAAATCTTTTAAAGGCTTTTTGGTAATTCAGGTTTAATAATGGTTTGCCTAGTTCTTGTCTTGTTAGTAGGTATTGGGCGTTATTATAAGTGTTTGGGTTTGATAGTTCCTTTCTCTTTTTCTTTTTAAGGTTTAAGAGTTTTAATATTTATTGTAAGAATAGGATAGCTGAATTACCTGTACAAGCAATTCTTACTTTCAGCACCAAGGGCTTAGAAACACAATAGCATGTACA